GAGGGTGATGTTTAATTTTATTGCATGAACAAATGTAAGTGTGTGATTTTTTTTTTTTTTTTTTTTTTTACTGCATTTCTTATTTTAAAGAAAAGGCTGTAAGTGCAACATTTTATTTCGACATTATTGTGTCTATTATTCTGGACATCTGCGTAATGTCGACGTTTTGTGCACATTTGTAACAGAAGCGCAGCTAGAGAATGTCCTCCAGGAGCAGGGAAAACTACAAAAGATCTTTGAAAGAAGCTGATTCTCTGAGCTTGTGCAAGGAAAGGTGAGTGGAAGAAAAAACATTGTAAGAACAGTTGCAACAGGGATAACTGATGGGAACGCACACTAAAGTCATACCAAGTAGATGGATAAACAGTATAATCGTGCACATCTTTCTCAAAAATAAAGTACCCCCTTTTTGTTCTTGGATGTAATATCTAACAGCAAACCCAAACGTTGATGAACAATAAACATTTTACTGCGCGTTTCAATGACGCCGTAAATGATTTTATTTAATGTACCACATTCACTTAAAAACGGCAATGACTTGGGAGTAATTCCTGAGTGTGGCAGCAGCACAATAATTTCTCAGCTATCATACAAAGACTCTGAGTTGTATAAACTTGTATGTTAAATATTTATCAATAAAACCAATACGAAGGTTGTTTCCACAGACTGATGGATGAAAAGCCTTAACCTGGCCCAATAAGGAGGAGGAGGAGGACGCTGGAGCCGGTTCTGCTGTGTTGCTCCTCGTCGAGTGAAGTTGTGCAGATGTCTGTGATGTGTTTCGGCATTGAGGAGGCCGGCGGCGCGGCGCGGAGTGCACTGCGCCTGGCTGTCTTCTCTGGCTCATAAATAGCGTCTCTCTGTGGGCCGTGGTGAACACCTGTTAGCTCATCTGTCACAGGAGCTCCACTCGCATCCATCACCTCTCCCTCTGTACTCATTCCCTCAGCCAGCTGTTCCCATTTCACACACACACACGGCTCCTTCTCCCCCCCCTCAACACGGTACCTCTCTACTCGATCAGAGTTTCAGACATATCTGCACACCTGACATGCTACTTCATGAAAAGATCACTTTAACTAAGTGGATGTTAAAGTTAATGCTGTGGTTGTTGTTTTTTTTTACCCTCTGCTACAAGGAAGAAGAAAATGCAAGTGCGCCTCTCGAAGACTAGAAAGTGATTAAATCGCCTGAGATTATTCACAGAAAAGCAGTAGGTTTAGGAAAACCTTTTGACCTATGCCTTTAAAAGGTCGCACACGAAGCAGTTTTGAAAGGACACTGCTGCGCCTTTTGTGTTGAAAGCGGTCAGACTCCTCTTGCTCGCCGCGCAGGTCGAAATGTGAGAAAATGGCGGTGATTTGTGCCACGCATCAACTCTTTGAGGAACGCGTTGCTTTTTTTGTCCAGCCTATTTCTGAGTAGTGCGTACGAATTGGGATCAACGGTGTGGAGTTCACGGTGTTCTGCTGCATCAGAGCCCCGTTTGCTGCTTTTTCTGAGGTTCCACAGAAAAAGCTGGTCATCTCAAAAGGTCATCTCAGCGTCTAATGGCTTCCAACCAGTCAGTTAAGAAGCCGCAAAATCATGGACTAGACACGTTTTAGAGTTTTGCTTCCTGTGTCAAGCATTCAGCATACTGAGGTAAGTGAAGTGTCTGCAATTAACTGACTGTTTCACTGCTGAATTTACACTGATTTTGTGGGAGTGGCGTACACATGCTCCAGTGATCAGGTGCTGGAAATTCTTAACCAATCCAAAAGTCTTTGGTAGCCTGTTAGCTTGTGACCGAATAACGCATTCTGTAGCGAAAACTGATTCGTTGTTCTTTCATTTGCTCTGTAGATCAACACAAACAGAAGTTTTATTTGCCGCTTCTTAAGAACATGTGAATTTATCTGATGTGTGCAAAGTCCCGCCTTCACACCATCCGAGTCCGTTGCCGTTGCAGGCAGCGGAGAAAACGTTTCGATGATCCAAAGATCATTACATCTGCGTCTGTTGGCGAGGCCTGATTCATTGGTGCTGATTATTCATTTGTCGTTGGAGTGCTGTATCATTTCCGTTTCATAAACGGCTCATCTAGCAATATAATGAGCAACTGTCTTTAATAGCATAGGACGGTGTAAAACGGTAGGCGCAGCTGACGCAAGTCCTGCCTCACAACAGTTATGTCAATTCCAGATGACCAAGAAAAAACAAGGGCGAATGCTTCTCTTTAAAATATCAAAACATCCCATTATTATTATGTAGTATTGACACATGAAGGTCTAATCTTTTCAAAATCTGCAAAAGAAGGGGATTTCATTTCACTTTAATCAAAAGGCAAAACGGAGCTAAAAACAGAGCAAAAATATCTGAAGTTTTCTTGACGGCGGCGGAAATCTTTTGATTGCAAAACCTAATATTAAGTTGCAGGTACCATCAGCTTTGTCCAGTCTGGTTTTCAAAAGTTTTTTTTTGTTTTTTAAAAAAAAAAGTGGTTCTGTTGAGACACGATTCAAATAGCCGTATTTGGTTTTCATTGGTTGTTATATTTGCTGTTACTTTCGTCAATTTAAAGTTATTTCCGTGACCGTTGTTGGGTTTACGTTCATCAGCAGAGGGATGCTGACTGTTTTACCCTTTCAAAAAGATAATCTGAAAGTGACTTTCTGGTGAAATAATGTCCCAACTCCTTCTCACTGTTCATTTCATATTTCTTAATATTATTAATCGTTGAACACAATCTAATCAGGGAGCGCCGGTGATGGTTTCAGCAAATATAAAGACTGGTGATAACACTCTGCAAAATGACCTCAGAACAAACTGGATTATGTATTTTCCAGGCTCACTGTGCCATTTTATGGCATAATCTCAGAACTGTTCAGTTATCATTAAAAGAAATGCTTTAAAGAATTTTTTGTATTTTAAGGCCTCGTGAAATTGGGCCTCTGTCTCTTTAAAAACTCCTACTCTTTGCCTTTAGGATGACATCACAACATTGCTCCTCCATTAACCCTTTAGCAGCATTTAAGTAAGAAGTAGCTCCTGTCAGGAGCTGAGCTGAGGTTCCACCAGGTGTTTGCTAATTGCTGCTGGCTAGTCTGAAGGAGCTGAGTGGCGAAAACTGAGGAGCTGGCTCCACCTGGGCATTTTGCACAGCTGGATGGTCACCATGGGAGATTTGAGGGTTCTAAAGAACATGTTCTAAAGAATCGCAGCAAAACTCCAGGTATGATTTCGAAGAGGGAATTACATCACACCACGATGGAAAGCTAAAAAAAAAAATCATTTTACGTGATACTTCCTCTTTAAAGTTTTGTTTTTATGCAAGGCTTTTGCAGACTGATAAAGGATTCATCACTTCGCCTTTGTTTTTTACGCGACTCCCTGTCAGGTCTGTGTTGGGATGATGCGAGAGATGGCCCGATGACAGATGAATCTCACCTGTTGGGTCAGACAGACGGTTCCTCGGCGAGTGTCTGCTTCTGTCCTCCCAGCCTTTTTCTACACCAGAGGCTGTGATGAGACCAGCAGGACAGGCCCGTCACGTCTGCGCGCTCCGCCTCAGAGAGGCGCCCAAATCGAGCTGTCACCGGCCAGGCCGGGGCTGAGGGAGCCGCCGACCGGGGAGGAGAGGCAGCTCCGCGTTCTCTCTCTCTCTTTCTCTATCTCTCTCTCTCTCTCTCGTTTCCGCCCCAGAGCCCATCGCAGCAGGTGCCAGGCGCCGGGGAAATGGATCTCTCTCGCGCACAGTCGCGTTTCCATCACGCCGACTTGCATCCATTTTCTGGAAACATCCCCAAATCGTAGGGAAAAAAAAAAAAATCAAGTCGTCATCCAGAAGGGGAGAGAGGAGAGGCACATCCTGGCAGGAGTAAAGAAAACTGAAAGTATTCGCTTGTCTCAAGTTGTTTTTGCAAAAGTTTATTTTTCTTGCAAGTAGAAATATCAGGGAAAGGATCTGCTGTTCTCTTAGTTTTATAAGAACTGATGGAATTACTTCATATAATAAGATTTATGTGTTTGTTTCCCGTCTGCACAGCAATAAATCCACCAAGAAAAACTTCTTCCACTGCAGCATGTTGCCTCTGTGCAGGTGACGTTTTAAATTATGGAAACACACAACCTGATGACGACTTCCTCTGACATCACAGTCTTGGTGAACTGCTGATCTGTTAGCAGCAAGTTCGCGACCTGCACAAGTCATTGTCCGCTTTTGAGTTGGCGTGAATATGTTTTGACCATCATGACCCCAACATCATCATCATCATCTCCAAATTCTCAGCACCACCTCTAATGACTGTGACAGGGGTAAGAATGTTATCCTCGTCACAATCTCACGTTTCATCCTCCATGAGTTCATGATTTTCATTAAATTGTGTTTTCCAGACACACGGTCTCGCTTCATGGCACAGTCAAGTAATTGTTACCGTCAGTTGCCATAAAAGTGCAAATATAACTGAAAATAAATCTTTGTTTAATATTTAACGTCTTGAAATTGGGCCTCCGTCTCTTTAAAAGCTCCTGCTCTTTCTGATAGTCCACCTTCAGGAAGTCATCACAGCAAGGCTCCTCTACTATCCCTTTAACAATGTTTCTTTTTGGTCCTTGCACCAGATGTTATTTAGGGGAATCGGTGTGGAAGGGGCACAATACAGATGCATGACACACTTTTCAGATTTCTATTTGGGGGGGAGGGGGGGGACAAGGGGAAAATTTCATTTTTGTCTTTAATTTTGTTGTCCTGAATTACTTTTTGTTGGATTATCATACCATAGAAATAAACTGTGATTGTAAGGCGTCAAAATATTTTTTTTTTAAGTTCAAAGCGTATAAATACATTTGTAGCACACTGCATCCTGCAGTACAGGGATCAGGTAACCTGTCAGGAATCGCTCCTCTCATCTCCGGACTGCAGATTGATAAATGTCTAACTCCGACGAAAAAGAAAAAAAAAAAAAAAAACAAGAGAGTGAAAAATTAAATCAGAAGAGTTGAATGTGTCTGTAGTCCTAATGAGCCGTTTATTGAATATTTCGGCGCGGAAACATGTAGTCATTAGTCTCCACGCTCCAAAGAAGCTTCTGAAAAGAAACTTCGGTGTGACTAAAAGAGAGAGAGAGACAAAAAATCTAATTGCGGTACAAGAAACAAGGGAATGGCTGCAAAGCATAATCACTGCAATTACCGCTCCCAGGGGTGTGCTGGAGTTACAGTGTGATTGTTTTTTTTGTGAGAGATTGTGGTTCTATTGGTGCTTAGCGCATTACTGACACATTTCCGTTGCGTCGCTGGAGGAGGAGCTGAAATTGGGAGAAGATCAGCTGTGGAATGAAGCATCGGTTTATGAGGAAGCGTCTTTATCAATCAGTCCTGGAAACAAACCAAACTGCTCTGAACTCACCTCCACGTTCTGTTAGCTAAACGCTCTGAACATGGCGGCTCAAACAAATTGCAAGGATGAGCCGAGTACGTTTCCTGTGACTGTAGAAAAGCCCTGGAGAAAATCAGGTGCTGTTCTTTTTTTTTTTTCGATCTCCTCACTCGTCCCAGCCTGTTGCAGAGGAACATGAACGCTGTCGTTGTGGACGGTGACGCCGTGGGCTGGAAGGATGTCCAGTAGCAGTCAGTCATGCGCTGAATCTGAAGAGGCCTCTGACTGAAGACTGCTTCTGGGTGACAGTCTCATGATTGTCATCAGAGGCAAACGGCTGAACTTCTGGACAGCAGACGCGATATTGCCACCGGAAAATGTCCTGGACACCGTGAGCTGTTAGCAAGCGCCACTAATCCACCTCGTTTGCTTCTGCCGCTCCGCTTTAGCTCTCTGTCTAGCCGTTGGGCTAGAGGTTAGAGATGCTAAACGTCTGCTCCAAGTTGTGAAAGCAGTACTTTGTTGCCATGGTTACATATCATAACTATCCAAAATGTAAAAAAAAAAAAAAAGAAAGCGAGAGCAAAAATCCCTGCAGCTGCTCAGGAACGTGAAGCCAGACAGAAAGTTGAAGAGGCTGACAAAAGATTTGAAAGGCCTGGATGAACAACGACCCACATCACACTGGTGCCAAAGTTGCAGCCTTACTGAAGCATATTTGTTTTAGAGCGGCCCAGTCAAAGTTCAGACATAATTTCAGTTGAGCATGTGCAGTGGATAAGCTCAGAATTGATCTTTTTGACCAACAAACTTTACTAGTGGCTGGTAAAATAACCGAGCACGCCATTTCCAAAGCGGCGCACGGTGGCGGCTGCATCATGCTGCCAGGACGGTTTTCTTCGGCAAGAACAGGGAAGGTCGTCGGAGTTGATGGGAACATTGTACACGACGCTTGTAAATAAAGTACATACACATATGTACATATTGGAAAATAATGTGCCGCAGTTATGCTCGACTTTCAAAATGAAAACAGACGGATGTTCACTGCGTGACAAAATGCGAAATTTCGATTTTGGTTCAAAAATAATGAAAGACGGTGAAGTGAAGGTCCTTTTATTTTTATTCTTTATCTTTTTGCAACTAAAATCCCTCAAGAAAAAAGAGCCACGTCACATCTTCAAGTGGCTAGCATGACTATTAAAAATCCGTTCCAGTGTAGGCCTCTGGATGAGCCTCTCTCGGAGGACAAGCGAAACCAATTCAGCACAAATTCTTTAAAAGCCCGCTCTTATTATCGGACCCCTTTCTTTTCTTGCTGTTGTGTGGCTCCTGTGAAGCAACGACCTCTTTGCAGGTGCATTTAACAATTGACTCATGCTTGCGTTTCAGTCTGGAGTTGAGAGCAAACTCCAAAAAAAAAAAAAAAAAAAAAAAAAACTCAACAAAACAAAAACAAAGCAGGAGAAAGAGCATTTCTGGTCAACCCCGGCCTTTAATTAGCATTTGATTGCGCTTTAAAAGCCACTCAAGTGCATTAAAAAGTGATCACGCGGTCAAAACGAAGATTGGCTTCGTTAATAGCGACCGCGAGGCAAAAGAAAAGAAAAGCATCGAAGCGAGCGCGCGTGCGGGCCTTTTTCACGCGGCGGTAAACACCATTCCGCTCGCGCTTCCACGCGGCGAGCCGCCGGGATTTATTTGCGGTCCGCGCGCGAGCCTCGTCGACGGCTTCAAAGCGAGTTAATGTAAGTTAATAAGTTAAAAGGGGTGAGGAGAAGGTGAGTGCTGCTAAAGTGCTTCGCTCTCCTATTCGCCACCAATTTGTCGCCCATAAAGGCGCCAACATGGCGGCGCTGAGGAGACATAAACTACGAGGATACGGGCTCACAAAAGCCTCCCCTCCACTCCCTCCCTCGATGCTCATAATGAAGACCTGTGTGGCACAATAAAGCACCGGGAGGTGAGTGCCGGGCCGGGGGCCCCCCGGAGCCCCAAACACTCTGCGTCTCGATGACGATAAAAGCCGAGATGGAGGCTGGAAATCAGGGGAGAAAGTGGCTCGGCGCGCCTGTTTGTCTTGTTTTCAATGAACTTATTGTTCGTCCGTGGAATTTGAGTTCGCCATTTTTTTAAAATCGTGATTTGCCTCTTCACGCTTCTGGTGTTCTTCTTCTTCTCTTGTCTGTTTATTTATTTATGTATGTATGTTTTGTCTCGTTCCAGTTCATTTCCTCTCACTGACAGGGCTGCAGTATTTCTGTTAGTTACAGATGAAAAATACATGTTTTCTACATTTTTATAAATGTAGACAAAAAAACCATCTTTAAGGAGTTATTGCATAAAACTAACTTATTAATTTGTGATTTTTAATTGGGTTACTTATTTAATGGAAACACTGCAACTGCAAAATTGTGTTTTATGTGTTTTTTGTTTGTTTGTTTTTTTTAATTAGTGGAATATATCTTGTCCTGCCTCAAATACAGTGAGGTCATTTAAAATGCACAACAGCCTTTTAGTTTAATGATGAAAAACGTCTTGAATGAGGGTTTGTCAATGACTCTTTTTCCTGGAATAAAACCGAGACCAGACTAAATAAAAACCCACGCCATGTGAGCAGAACTACGATTGACCTTTTCGCCTTCAAATGAAAAGGTGACAAAGCTGGAGCCGGACCGAAAGCGTTGTAGCTAACGGCTAAGACCAAGGAGGCTGGATTCACAAGAAAAAACATTCTTCCTGGAGGTCTGGACTCTGCTCAGGTTCCACATTTTACCCAATTGCCAAACGTTTGTCCGTGACGTATGTAAATGCGGCGGTTTGACGGTGAGAAGTTTACTGGAAGTTGCCCGTGCTGTGAACCGACCGTCCTGCACTGTAAGGAAAGCAGTGCAGAGCCGAACAAGATGGCCGTTTGTGTCTATTCAATGTTGGGAGCCGACACGGACCCAACGGCTTCGTTGATTTCCTAAAGCTGCAGACAGGCTCCTGGCTCTGAAGAGGCTCAGAAAGTCGCCGTTTGCCGCTTCTCGTCCTGCTCGCCGATTGGCCTGTAGAAATTCAACCGAAGGGGAATCCAAATGAACGGGAGAAACCTCGGTCTGACTGTGAACTGAGGTTTTAATCGAGCCAAGCTGACAGGAAAGGAAATGGCCGCCTCGTTGGCTGCGACTTTATGGGATCAGTAGTTGCAGATGGATCGAACATATTGATGATCAAATCCTATTTGGACGTCACAAAAATGTTTTCTGAAACATATATTCATAGATATTTACAGTTTTGGTGATTTGCAGAGGGTTTGCTTGTTTGCCTCCTGTGAGTCTGAATGCTGCTCTATAAGCTGTGATCTGCAGCCTCCTCTCATCTGAATGCTAATTCACCATTTAAAATCCTCCCCTCTGCCACCGGGGGAGGAATCTGAAGCCACAGATGCAGGGGGAACCGGGGCCCTGGCCTCCCTCTCTCCTGCCTCTGTCGCAACTGAAGGGCCCCTTAATTAACCCCGGGCACCGGTGCCGAGGAGCCCGGACCGGTGCCGGTCCGGCGGGCCCAGCCGCTCCCAGATTTAAATGCGCATCTCATTTTAACGCCGCTGAGCGCGGAGAGCCGCGGATCTCTTCAGCGCGGCCCCGAGTCCAGCCTGTAATCCCCTGAGAGAAGACTTTTTTTTTTTTTTTTTTTTTTGAAGGGGCGGCACCCAGCGCTCACTTTTTTGAGGGCGCATCTATGAAGGGCGGGGGGGGGGAGTTAAATGCTTTGGAAGGGTCCTTTTGTTTGCGCCACGCACACGGCGCAGATCCATTGACGCGGCCCAAATGGAAAGTGACTGGCCTTTAATTGCTGCGCTCTGTGCGCGGTTGTCATATGGAAGTGTTTGAATAGAGAGCCGTGCGCGGCGCTTCAGCCCAAAGTCCGCCGGCGGCGCGGAGGCCTGGAGGGCAGCAGGGATTACATAAATGGACTCAATCGGCCAATTAGCACTCCCGAGCGGCTCCGGGGACCTGCTGGTTAACATTTGAAAGGGGCTTTAGGGCCCGGGCCGCTCGTGGGGGCCACCTTTGTCACATTTCTTAATAACAGATGTGTCATAATACAGAGGGATTACACCAGAGGAGCTTGTAATCTTGTTATCTTGAGCTTTTTTTCCTCCTCCTCCTCCTCTTCCTCCTTCTTCTTCTTTTCTTTCTTCACGTGCAACTGATCCCCCCCCCCCCCTCGCACACAAACACCCACACACACACTCCTCCACCTCCTCCTGTTTGGATATGAGTCAATTGTTCCATTTTGTTTCATTTCTCATTGGAGATGATTTCAGGAGCTGACAAGGTTACACGCTGCATTTGTTTGAGTGTTGCCCCCCCACCCACAGCCCTCCTCCTCTCCCTCTAATCAGCGCGTTTCCAATTGCGTGATTTATGTTCGGCGTCCAAAAAACTGCGCGCTCGGCGATGATTACGGAGGCCGATGGCGCAGCGCAGTTTTTTTTTTTTTTTTTTTTTTTTGGGGGGGGGGGGGGGGGGGTGTCTGCGTTGCGGGCGAAGTGGGGAGTAAATGGGCGTTTTATTTATCACCGGTGCCACAGACCCCCGGAGCGGAAGAGCGCCTTCCCAAATTGAAATATAGCGGAGTTTACCCTCCTGATTAGGGTCTCTCTCTCTCTCTCTCTCTCTCTCTCTCTCTCTCTCTCTCTCTCTCTCTCTGTCAAGGCCGTCATCGCCGCGGCGCTCTGACGCCTAATTGCGCCTGGATTAATGCGGCCGGAAGTGACAGCGGAGCTTCCGGGCTCGGTTCACCCCGCTCTGTAGGGGCCTGAATGCGTCTAAAACCACATTTCAGTCATCAACTTTAATGAAAAAAGTAGATGTATTTATTTATTGATAGATTGATTATAGAAATCACAGCATTTTCTGTGTTTATTCGTTGGATCTCCCTTTGGGATCAATAAAGTGTTTTTGAATGTCAAAATGTCCCACTTCGAGATAATTAGTGTCGATGAATCCAACTTAAAAAAAAACCCCAAACAGTTCACGAAGTAATAATTTTTTTTTTGTCAAACTTCCTTTAGTTACGTTTGTTCAACAGACAACGTAATGCATTCAATGTGATTGCCTGCAACGCAGCATATTTCCTTGAAAGATGGCAACGCCGCAAAAAGTCGCCTTTCAAAAGCAAAACGGAAGAAGAGCTCAAATGCTGCATGGGTACAAATCGCTTAAAATAAGGAAACAAATCCAACAGAATCAGACGAGGCTTATGGAAGGTGAGCTGTTTCGCTTCTGGCATGTTTCTCCCCCTGCAATTGAATCCATTTCCCTAGCAACCCCAACCGGCTGCCTCCGGAATGCATCCCACAGCATGCTGCTGCCACCACCCTGTTCTACTTATGGGAAATGCGCGTCAAGGGAGTTACAGAGTTTGTTTTCGGCCTAATGTTATTTTCTGACTACAGAACTCTACCTTCCACACGTTTGCTTTGTTCCTTTGTTCAGACTATTTTAAACTACT